ACTTACTGTAGTCATGGTTTGTTTTTATTTTGATCCAACAGTACAGGCTATAATGTGAAAAGCAGAAATTGCCTTCCCCATCTCTGTCTCCTTTCAACACCTTTGTTGTAAGCCCTATTAAGTTTCTCATGAGTCCTTCCAGAAATTTCTTAAGCATATAAACACACACGTGCACAAATGAGATCACTCTTTTTGAACTTGGGTTATTTTTATTTAATAATTCTCTTGGAGATTGCATTAGTCATGATAGGCTAGAATATGCTGAGGTAATGAAAAGAATTCACAGTCTCAGGGGTTTCAGTGTTTCTTTCTCACTCCTACTACATGCCAACCCAGGTAGATAAGAGGGCTACACTCATCATTGTCACTTGAAGACCCAGGCCCCATCTTAACATTTGTGTCCACAGTCATTGGAGCAGGGAGAAGGGGATGTCCTGCACCAGCTCGTAAGGTGTTCACCCATAAGGGTCATAGGTCACTTCTGCTCAGATCTCATTGGCCACAAGTCACGTGGCCACACCTCTCTTCAAAGAGGGTGGGAAAGTACAATTCTAACCCTGTGTGGGGAAGGACAAGAGAGGTAGAATATTTGGGAATATCTTTAATAACTACCACAAAGATCTCTCTACATCAGTTCCTATAGATTTACCGCATCTTACCACAGTCACGATGGGCTACAAAAATTACTTAACCAATTCCTATCATTGGACAATATGAGCAATGCGACCATGAACATTCTTTCACATTTATCTGTACCTGCTTGTTTCAATATATCTGTAGGATAAATTCCTTGAAGTAGAATTGCTGAGTCAAAGGGTTTGTGCATCTTTAAACTGTGCTAAATGTTGCCAGATTGCTAGGCATTGTGAAATTGTCTCCTGAAGGAGTTACCAATTTGCACGCATACCAAGAAAGAATGAGAATTTCTATTTCTACTATTTCCTGGTTCTATTTAACTTTTAAATCTTTGACCACTAGGTAGGCTAATAGTGTTGTTTTATTTTATTATTGTATTAAATTTATTAGGGTAATATTGGTTAATATAATACTGTTTTAACTTGCATTTCTTTAATTAGGAATTATACTGAGCATATTATCACATGCTTATTAGTCATTTATATTTCTTTGTAAACTACCTGTTCCTGACCTTTGCCCATTTTCTGTTGGATTACTAGTCTTTGTTCTCATTGATTAGTAAGATTTCTTTGTGTATTCAGGAAATTAGCCTATAGTATGCCGTGTGTATTTAAAACAATTGTTTTGGGGGTGGGGTCTATATTTCTTTTATCTTTAGTTATGGTATTTTTGTTTGCACAGACATTTTAAATTTTATATAATTAAACTACCCATTTTTTGCTTTGTGTATTCTGGGTTTTGGAAACTTTTTTTAAAAGGCTTTTCCCAGCAAAAATAATTTTTTAAATCACCTATGTTTCTTTCTAAAACTTTTACATTCCTTTACTCTTGGAGGAGCTCCCTCTCTGCAAAAGACAGGCTGGTGTTACCAAACATCCGTTTCTTACAGAAAGGGGGTAGATAAAAATTGAAACAAACTCTTAAATTATCTTGCATTTCTACTACGCCACCCCTCACCCCCAACACATGCATGTTGGGCCTTAAAGCTCTTTTTCCTAAATTCGCTCAATTCTTTCTCTAGGAAAATATCACGGCAGGCCTAATTACAGAGATTTCACTTGGAAAAAACATAATCTGGATCAGCAGGAGTTGTTTCTGCCTCCTTTCCAAGTCTTGTTTCCTTCACACGGATCCCATAATTATACGTGGACCGAGTTGAGCTAATGGAACAACCACAAAACTGGCAAGATAAAAGGAAGATCAAGAACACTGAAGGGGGCTACTTTGTATGCCCTTTTTCTTAGGAATGGGAACTTCAGAAATCCACAAACTAAAAGCCTATGTTATCTAAATTTAAGCAAAAGCAAGAGGGGACGGAACTGCATATTATCACATGTACATGAAAATGACACCACTTTCTGTCTTAAACTTTAACAAGTATATCAGTGCTCTAAACTGGAAACAACCCAACTGTCCATTAACAGCAGAAATGATAAATAAATTATGTGATATTCATACCATGGAATACTATACAGCAATGAGAAGGAACGAACTAGAGCCACATGCCACAGCAGAATGTTTAGTGCTCCCCCTCTCAGATGCATACAGTATAATTGATTTCTCTAAAGTTCAAACACAAGCAAAGCTAAACTTATTGTTTTAGAATGTACACGAGTGGTGAAAATGTAAGGAAAAACAAGGAAATGATTATTATAGTGAGGAGAAGGATTATTTCTTGAGGACAGAAGAGAACTATGATCAAAAGGGATATCTGGAAACTTCGAGGGTGGGGGTGATGTCCTAGTTCCTGATCTGGGTGCTGTTGACATGGGTGTTCACTTTATAAACATGTTAAATCACATGTGTAAGCTTTAGGCACTTTTCTGTGTTTTCGTTCACAATAAGAAAGGTTTTTTTAAAAAAACCTAGCAGGTTATACAAAAGTTGAATTACAGTAAAACTTCACAGCCGAAAACAGTGGTTGTGGGCAAGGCTTCTCCTTACATTTGAGGAATTCAGGTAGAGTTGCCAGATAAAGTAGAGGACGGCTGCCCAGGAAATTTAAATTTCAGATAAACACAATAGTTTTTTAGTATATTTCAAATATTTCATAGAACAGGCTCATCCTAAGAAAATTATTCATTGTTCATTTGAAATTAAAATTTAACTTGGCTTTTGTGTTTTTATTTGCTAAAACTGGCCACCCTAAACTGCCCAGGACAGGAGTACTGGGGTCAAAGACCAAATATTAGAACAAAAGATGCTCTTAGTGCTCTGATCACTTAGGAAATTACAAAGGATTTGGGAGCTCTGTGCCAGGAACCAGGAACAAAGACCAATACACACGTATATATTTTCTATTATCTCACAACATGTAATTGTGTTAAAATTGCACACATTTTTAATATATTTACATGATATTTTAAAATTGAAGTAGGTAGTGAAAATCAAAATATTTAAACATCTTCATATGTTTCAAAAATATTTTTCTTCTAAACTATTCAAAATTGTGTATTAAAATTAAATGGCAATGGTTGCCAAGGGTGGGGTGAATGGGGAGTTAGTGTTTATTGGGTACAGTGTTTCAGTTTTGCAAGATAAAAAGAGCTCTGAAGAGGAAGAGGGATGACGGTTGCACAATAACAATATAAATGTACTTAATACTGCTGAATGGTACAGTAAAAAATAGCTAAGGTGGTAAGTTTTATGTTATGTTCATTTTACCACAATAAAAACATTTTTAATTAAATGACAAATATAATCGACAGGTATCAAATTTTTATCTAAATTATTTGAGTAAAGGCTGTTTAAATTTAAGTTTTTGAAAATTTAACTCTTATTAAATATTTTGTAATGATAAAACAACATAAAAAGCTGGTATTACATTTCACACATCTGGTTGAGTCTTACATATATATACCAAATTAAGAGTAATATAAAGTGTTTTTATAGTGTTATATGTTTTTAAATATTGTTCAATATTTTGTTGATGTTTCTCAGCTGCCATGTTGTGAAAATCACTTTAACTCATAAGTACCTTCAGAACCATGAACTGGGATTCTAAGAGAAGGGAAAAAATGGACACTCAGAACCACTGGGGGAACAATATCAATTCATGTGTTCTGACAGAAAGGAGTTGACAAATTCGATGATGATGTCTCTCTTCTTACCAAGCACTTCAATCCTCAAACCCAACCCCTCACACTCTGAAATGCTCTTCACCTCTGGGGTGTTCAGCAACACAACCCACAAATCTCCACAGCATGTGGCCATGGTTACCTTTTGTTTGAAGGACACAGGATGCCTGAACATCCCATCAGTAATGGGAGTGGATATTCAAGGTCAGGGGCCAGGCTGTGTCAATGCTGACTAGCTGATCATCAGCCAGGAGGTTCCCATGTGTTAATGAATGTGTTTTGTGACCTGTGGGATTCTCTGAAATGTGGAGCGCAGAGCAGGGGCCCCTCTTGCCCAGATCTAAGGATGATACTGGCTGTGGGAACCTGATCAGATCAAAACCATTTCGAGAAGCAAGTAATCATTCACAACTTCGGCAAGAGTAAGCTTGACAAGCTTTATTCCAGTTCTACAAACATGAGGAAACAAGAGTGCTTTTGCAGGAAGTTCCATCAGAGCTAAAGATAAATGTCAATCAGGAAGCATCAGTGCTGGTTTGGCCACACCACACCCAAAACCTGCAAGTAGTGAGGAGCCCCTCACTGAGGCCTTCCGGTTCCTTTCTACTACCAAATAAGGACTGCTCTTTCTATAGCCCTAACCCAAGCCTGACTGGGGAACACCATTTTCTACCCTCCGATGGAAGTGACCTTCTCTCTTCAATTTGGGTCTAATTTACAAAATATTCAAGTTTCAAAAACACAGCCTAGGGTCTTGGCAGCTGACCAGGAAGGGGAATGAGGCCTGGACTGAACTTTGTTCTTCTGGTTAATTGAGTGTTTCCAACCTGCCTGAGCCCTTTCAGCAGCTGACAAGTTCCAGCTTCATTGGGGTGTGCTCCATAACACCCTCAACCACCTCCACTGATTGGGATTATAGAACCCTCTCTGCTAGTCCTTTGAGCAAGAAGCTGAAATCGCTGACAATTACCAAATCTGCAGAGGATTTCTCATCTAGGGAGGAGGTTGCTGGTCTACCCTGTGACTCCATGAACAAGGCTGATTGCGATTATTAATCATTCTCATTGAGTTTTCTAAAAATGTATCTTTAAACAGAAATATTTGTATGTCACAAAAACCCACCTCAAAAATGACTCCATTTCATTGTAATAATTACTAATTATCCATTTAAAATAGGGTTTGTTGCATAAGCTTGTGTACAGAATATTGAAATCATTTCATAGGTAGCGAGACTTAGGTGTAAGACAAAATGAACTAATCCCAAATCAATTCAGAGTTAAAAGTTACCTTCTGTTCCTACCTCGCCTCATTCCCAACCATCATCCGCTTGGCTTCATCCTGCAGTTCTCTGTGGCTTTTTTCTTTTTAGGAGGGAACTTTAAATGTTTGGTTTCAGAAAGTGAAAGCTTTGCTGCCGCACCCCCAGTTCCCCAAATGGTGCCTGGCATATAGTAGGCGTTTGGTCAACAGTCACTGAATGGCTGAATTGATTCTCTTAAAATTGATTGGGGTTTATATGAATCAGATTCCTAATCAAGAAGAATTCCCATCGGTAGATGACTGGATTAAGAAGCTGTGGTACATTTAGACAATGGAGTATTACTCTGCTGTAAAGAAGAATGAAATCGTACCATTTGGGACAATATGGATGGACCTAGAGGACATTATGTTAAGTGAAATAAGTCAGTCGGAGAAAGACAAATACCATATAATCTCACTTATATGTGGAATCTAAAGAACTGAATAAATGAGCAAAGTAAACAGAAAAAAAAAGAAGAGTTATATCCTGCTCAACAACAGAAGTTTGTCAAGGGTTTTTCTTTATAATTTGTTTTCAGATTCTAAAAGCAATTTGGAAAATTTGAAAATTTAGAAAAGTAGAGAATTTGGAAACAAGAGAAAAGTATGAAGAGACAAAATTCTGATGTTTTACTACTCCAGGCTACCACAAACAGTAGAAGATTTTCAGGATTGTAATTAATCAAGTAACCCGCATTCATAATTGAAATATTAGAAATAGGGGCAAAAAGGGAAAAAAAGGAGGAAAGAGTGGCATTCCCAAAAGAGACTGGCTCAGGCCTTGAGCTTTAAAGAAAACAGTTTGCAATTAGCGAGAGCTGCTGAGACATTGTTCTGAGCAGCCTTACGGCTTGGAGCCCAAGGACAAGATCTGGCCCCACATTTGCAGGGCTCCATATCACATGTCCAACTATTTAAAATGTATACATCAGAATTTAAAGCCCACATAATTTAAATCATGCTGAGATTTCATTAATTTGAAATTTTAATTAAATCTTGTTAAACATTTTTATAAACATAATTTTTTTTAAGATTTTTTTTTTATTGGGGAATTGGAGGATGGGAACAGTGCTGGGGAGTTGGGGGAAGGGGAACAGACAAGTTGATGTCCTTTTGTCCTTCAGTCTAGTTGCGGAGGACGTTGCTTCACTGGCCCAAGTTGGCACAATCATTGCGCTTTTCCCGGGGAGGCAGATCAGTCGCCGGCTTCTGGACGGCCGCTCACGGCGGCTGCTGGCCGCTCACACTGGCTGATCTCAGAGAATGAAGCCAGGAGACTGTGGCTGTGTGTGAGGTCGTCTGGCCCTGGGATGGGGTGAGGGGCACTGAGAGGGAGTTCCATGAAGGAAGCTGAGCTTGCTGGGAGCCCAACGGACTAGGCTAAGAAAGCAGGCACCAGTGCAGCTATGGAGAGCTCTATATGCACCAGCCCCATTCACAAGATTTCTGGGAAAAGGCCATGAATGAGCTGGTGAGGTGGTCACATTTGCCATTCCTCCTTTTCATAGCTCAAATCTCCTCTGATGGGAGGCAGAACATGGTGAACGGAGCCATGAGTATGAATGCTCAATGTCCAGACTACACGAAACCTATAGGACAAAATGGCTCAGACCCTTCAACAGATAAGTGGTAAGGAAAAGAAAGGGATGGAAGGGGGAAAAATAGGTTTAAAGTGACTTAGAAGACATTTAAAAGTTATTAAAGGGCAGGCTAAACTATGGTATATAGGGATAAACAATTGGGTGATAAACTATTTTTTTTGTGTGGTTAGCATAAAAGTCAGGATCATGGTTACTTCTGGAGGATGGAGGGGGCTGTGATTTAAATGGGAAAATATGAAGGGGTTTCTAGGGTGCCTGGCAAAGCTCGATTTCTTGATCTGGATGGTGGTTACAGGGATGTTCAGCTTAAAATAATTCATTAAGTCATAGATTTGTTTGCTGTGTCTGTGTTTTATTTTATAGTAAAAAGGGTTTGTTTATTTGGTTTTTTAAATCTCCCCAGGAATATCAGTTTGCTAGATAATCCACAAGGACTTTGTTTTGATGTTCTTAGGACCCAGAAACCTTCAGTATAGTTCTTAAAATTTTCAATTCTCTGGTATCTGTTGTAGCCACACCATTCATGCAGATGTTTTCCAGATGTTGGTCATATGTTCCTGCTATTCTGGGACAGCCCTGATTTTAAATAGTCTATTTGCTTGTCATTACAAATTACCATTTTTCCTTAAACTCCAGGACCTTGATGAATTATATATAAATTAACCAAAACATTAAGCAATTTTTGAGATCATAGGGCTGGAAAAACAAACCACCACCTCACAATTATTCACAAAGTGGAATTCACAGTGACCCACATTCTGTTGAGGGAAGACTGTGTGTGCAGCACATTCTGGTCAGAATGCATGGGGCGAGGGGCTGGGGAGAACAAGAGAAAAGTGGCAAATATTTCTTGAACTTTCCCCCTGAGCAATGTCTACCTCCTTGAGGTACAGTGATTGATACCCAGGGGACCAAAGATGGTACACGGATTTCTACAGAAGTAGCAAGGGCCAGAGAGTAGGGCTGCTTCAACAACCACTGGGGCCAAGGATGGGAAAGTAAGGTCTGCAAGCAAGTCTCCAGGTTAGAAACAGAAATAGAAACAGGGGCAAGATCAGGGGTCAGGAGATGGACAGAACAGGAGTGGGCAGGTGTGTGGAAGTGGTGGCTTTCCTTGCTGGCCATACATTCTATTGGGGGTGCTAAGATGATCTGGTTTAAGGGCAGCGCCGATTCCTCTGTCTTCTCCCACCTAGGCAGCTAGGCAGGGAAAGACAGTGTCAGCGTTGCTCCAAATTTGTCAGGAAAGACCTTTGCCTTTCCCCAACAAGGAAGGCATGTTTTGGGCCGGCCGAGTGGCACGTTGGTTAAGAGCTGATTTGGGATGCCAGAGGGCCCCGGTTTGGGTCCCACATAGGAGGGCCAGTGACACTGCCCTCCACAGCTAAGATGCTGAACAAACAGCTCAACCTGGAGCTGGTCTGCCATGAGTCACCGGCGACGGCGTAGGCTGCAGCCCCTGCTGCAGTGGGTTGCCATGAGCTACCGTGTGTAGCCAGCAGCCAGCGTGAGTGGCCCTCAAGACGCTGTGAGTGGCCGTCCAGAAGCCGGCGACTGATCTGCCTCACCCGGGAAGAGCGCAATGATGGTGCCAACTTGGGCCAGTGAAGCAATGTCCTCCACA